GCAACCGGCGAAATTTCAGAATGGGAATGAAAATCAGTCACCGTAATTGGTGGCTCAGACAATCTGCAGTAGTATTCGTAGACATTTTCAAGTGTTTGCACTTCCATTCCCTCCTGAAAAACACTTGCCTAGACTGCGTCTTAGGGTTTTGACTGTTCCTTTTAGATTGGCGTTTTCGGATCTCACCCGTTACACTCTCTCGAGTCGACCGAGTTTTTCTTCCCTTGAAAAGCTGCACACTTGCACCGCAACGCCGCTTTTTCTATTTATTCGGAATAATTCGCATATTTTCTCGGGTTCTTTTTGACTGGTGGCTGACTTTTGCAAGAAAACTGGCTACCGTGAGCTCTGTTACGTGTCATCAGGTCTCATCGTCGGCGAGTCGGCCGGCGATTTAATTAAAAAAAATCTATAACTTTGATGTAAACAACTCACGACACGAGCCCGCGTTCTTTTTCTCAAGCAGGGTTACAAAGGTTATGTAATCTGCGCATGTCTGAGATTTTCATGGGGTTGCGGTTTCCATGGGTGGGGTACCTTTCCGTGAGGCCTAAAATTGTTATCTGGAAGAGAGATTTGCTCAAAGCGCCCAGGTGTAGAAGAATTGCGCTCAGCTAGTAATGACAGTGAAGTCCTGGACAGAGATCGTGAAAGAAAGCAAAAGGGTAAAGACTTTGATGATAATTTGAGAGGTGCTTGTGAGTCTAACCTGAAAGAAGCAAACAAAGTTCTTCTTCAGAAACCGAAGTCACACAAGCTGTCACCATCATTTGAAGCCCCACCCTATGAGGTGGTCAACAAAGACAGAAGTCAGGTGGAAATTAAGTCTCCAACTGGTGTCCATTACAAAAGAAATGTCACTCACCTACAGAAGTATAAAGAGGATAAATCACAAAAAACAGCAGGCAGTAATCCTAAATAGACATTGCCAAAAGACCTAGAAACTAGTGGAACCAAGAGTTTCAACTCAGCATTATGCGTTGCGGCCAAGGCACAATCGTCAACCTGAGAGGCTAAAAGATTATGGACTTAGTTAAGACTTTGTTTATTGCTTTGAGAAGGAAATTTTACCTTTACCAATATGTCATATGTGTTGGTATTGGACATTGTTGGACATTGAGTTTTTTCGTTGAGTTTAGAGCTATTTGGAAATGGTTATAGTATGTATTGTTATTTTGTTTAAGGAACTGGACTGGACAACTTATTCGGAAAAGGGAGAGATTGTAGCATCTATGATGTAATCATGTACGGCCGAAAGGTGTTGCGGAATTTTCGTTCCGCTCGCTGGT